GGGGGGGGGAGCGGATGCCTACCTGATGGTGTCTACGTGGTTCACGCCATCGTCACACACCTAAAAGGAAACAAGAGTATGTTAACGCTGTCAGCGGCGGGGGTCCGGGAGCAACGTACCATATTCGTTTGTCATGCTTCTGTTTGTGTTCATCTCCCTCCCAACACTCCTTCACCCCTCATGCGCCCTCATTCATTACTTCTCCGGGGGGGAGAAGAAGGGGTTCACTGCAGCCTGCGCGTGAGGTGTGAACGATGGCATCAGCTCGACGAACGGCATGAGAGAAGAGAGTGAGAGGCATAGAGGAGACGGAGGGGAAGGGGAGAGGAGGGGGGAGGGATGGAGGGAGTGGGGGGGTGGGGGGTTAAAGAGTGGAAACATCCATTGCAGCCAGACTGCAGATACAGTATATTGCAAGCGAGAGAAAGCGGAGGCAACCTCAGCTCCCTCATTGATGTGCGGGGAAAGCAGAAAGGACGCGATGCGGCGCGGGAAGGGAGAGACGTGAAAAAGACCAAAGAGGCACAGGTGGTTCCATCTGTTGAATCTGGAGACGGTATCATTCCAACACATCTTGTTGGCACTTTTTCCCAACACACATCCCGGCCTTTCCTCGTCTGTAGACAAGGCGCAGGATGTCATATTTCATAATCGGATTATACATTTTTAGACACATCTCACATCTTGCTCGGGTCAAAATAATTTCTCATTTCTTTGAGCGGGTAATGTGAGATTCGGCCTCGCTGGCACATCAATTTGAGAGATGACTTTGAGCCGTATCGCTGTGACCTTTCTGTTTGCTTCCCCTTCCTTGTCTTATCTGCACCTTTGCATGCTTACAAGTTGAAATTAGTTAAGACCGCAGCATTAAATAGTTCGATGGGGGGAATACTACATCACAGAGAAAAACATTTTCATCAGGATACGCATGCGAGAATTGGCGAATTTTTCGGCCATGTTTAAGTCTCCAAAAGGGATTTGGTTATTTGAAGAATGATAAACCCAGCGAGAGCCCACAAAATTTGGATTCAGCACGCCTCACATGATCTCTTTCTATGTCGCCATCTCTCCATCAGAGTACATGTCAGAGGTTGCGCGCAACCATGAGGCACGTTTGCTACATGTGCACTCGCTCGCCAAGTACAAGGGTGAGGAGATGAAAGTTTGCTGCAAGCAAGCAACACTGCGATGAACACCAACAGGCTCGCATGCTGGCTCCACAGCCCCCATACCGCCCACCTTTTTTTTTTTCCCAAGCAGTTGCTAAGGTGACGGCAAAGGCTGAATTTTAATCAGACAATAAATTAAAAGCAACGTGAGAGCTTCTCTTTTAATATTACATGGCGACATTGCTCATTCCTGTGAACCTTCCTGGATGGAGAGTTCTTGATATGACCTGTTGAAATTCTTTGTTGCCCCTTGTATGATATGCTCAACTATTTTCAAAGGGGTGGGCGGGGGTGTAAAATAACACCATGCTGTGCTGGTTTATTTACCGAAATACACAGTCGTGTGCTTTGATTCTCCTCCACCTCTGAGGTGAACATCATGCCGAGACATCAAACGCATTCACTTTGGAAGCAAGTCATGTTTAATTGAGCCTTTAATCCGGTCTTCCTGCAACACGTGTCTTGGGAAAACCACTGGTTGCATTTCTCTAATTAATGACAAGACAAGAGGAGACCGGATGGGTGGGCTGCTGACGAGTAGGCTTGGAACAACCTGATCGGCGGCTACATTGACGAGACGTCATATTAAAAAAAAAGAAATAAATATGGATGTAAATACTAATGACGCGAATGACTAGGCGCTCCAGGAGCAAAAAAAAAAAAAAACAACTGGGACTCACCATGTTGATGCCTCTAGGCAGAGAGATGGATCTGCAGGGGTATCTGGGGGAGTTGTGATTAAATTCCAGGAAACGTTTCATTTCAAATCCTTGGCAGAAATTCGGAGGGGGCGGAATTACATTTTGTTCATCGATCAGTAACGGTGGAAGAGTGTCAGGGTTGATCGCCGCATCGTCTGCATGGTCATCCCTTCTCACCACGTCAATGTCTGTCTCCAGATACATTTTTGGAGACTGGTCCACCTGGAGCGGATCCTCCAGTGAGAAGTTCTGCTGCTGGGCCATTGAGCGCGGCAGCCTCGGGCTCCTTTTGGTGCTCGCCTTGATGTGGACCTTCAGATGAAGCTGGAGAGATGAGCTGGTTTCCCAGATGCCTGCAAAACTGTTTGGACCAAGCACATTGGATGTAACTTCGTCCAAGAACTGAAAAAAAACTTCAATTTGTCTTCAACCTTCGCCCCCCTAGCGGACCCTCTTGATCTCTTTTCGTGCTAGCTTGGGTCTGACACCAGCCCCTCCTCCCCTGATGCGCTGCCTGATGTTGTCATGCATGGCATTCGATGCAGTTGTTTCCCGCCCCCTCCCCGCGCCGCATGGGATGTGCTCTGAAACAATAACCCCCCACCCCCCCCCGGCTAGATTGGCTGGCCACCTTTTTTCTTGCAGCGACGTTTGAAAAGCTGCATGGCTTTGCTTCTTGATTGTGCTGTGACGGTGCAAAGTGACTCCTGAGCTCCAGCTAGTTGGGCCGCCCCTGCAGTCAACTGCTGCATCCCTGGATGGATGCTACTTGGGATAATACAACTGGAGGCCGGACTGGAAGAGGACATCTTTGAGGAAAGACCAATGAGCTCCTCTAACCAGACGTGGTCACTGTTGAAAATTCAGCAGAGGAGGCCCAAGAATCAGAGGAGCATTGAACATGCTTCGAGTCAAGTCCCTTTGCTTTGCCTTCTGTCTGCGTGCGCCGTTCTCTTGATTGGCGCGACCGGCAGATGAAATGCGGTCCAGTGAACAACAGCCATTTTGGAGAGTTCTACCCCGATTCATTCTCATTAGTGTGCAAGCCTGACCTAAAAGAGATTCAATACTTTGCACTCGGGGGGCTGAACAGATGGACTCCTTCAGTGCCAGGCTAACACTCTGCCCATGTCAGACAAGGCCATCCGTGACTTAAAATTTAATGCGGTGAACCAAAAATGGTCTCATTATGTCAATCTGACAAAGCCATCACGCCTAATTTCGTGTTTGGCTACAAACACCATCATATCATTGGAGATCAACGAGAATGAGATTTTCTGACTGAATTTCCCGACACTACTTTTGCTAAGTTAAACACCGCTCGCACTGCGGGCGCTATTCTTAATTAGAATGCCTATCGATAGAGCAAGCAAAGCTTTTCAGCATTTTCCAGGTCAGTGACTGACCATTGATTCGACTGAGCACTTAACAGTGAGCACACAGAGGCTGGTTCAGCACCACTTTCAACAGTGATGCATGCACATAAATTACTCTCCATATTGTCTGTATTCCAGTGATGTTTTTTTACCCAATACTTGGAACCCAGCATGATACGCTTCGGAAAAGTTCCATAGTGTAGTTAGTTTTCTTTTTAAACATTTATATATTTTGGAGGAAAAAAAAACACTGTCAGGGATTTTTGGGCTGGAAGTGGTCATGGAGTTGGCTGCCATCCATGGATGTGGTGAACCACTTTTGAACATTTAATACTATTCGAGACATCTGAAACATTGAACCACCAATTACGTCTTTTGTAGTCAAAGCGTCTTTGATTGGACAGACATAACGCAGTACACCACCCGAACCAGACTGGCGCCGTCCCCAGGGGTGTCATTAATGTGACTCCGATATGATAGTTATGACCGAGTGTCCTGCTGTGCCAACTGGCTGCAGGTGCAACACAGCAGGCAGGAGACCTATGGGACTACCCCGTCTGGTAGCAAGGAAGGAGCACCACATCCCTCAACATACAAACATGTTATTTCCCCAAGGCTGCTTTTTCTTTTAGCGTCTCTCTCCTTCGCGCCAACCATTTTCAGACGGGTTTAAGCCACTCCTATGATAAACGTCTTTAATAATCTCTTTTCAATTTCAGAAGCAGTAGCGGGGCGGCAGACAATTTATAACCGTCGCCCAGAACAGAGAACGTAAGTCCACGGCAGCCCCAAGGTAATGATGCAGAAATAGATTCCGACTAAAACTGCAGACATGGAGATACGGGACAGTAAATCGCTACTATTTTCAGGGAATATGCTCCGAGCCTTGCCATGAATAGCAAAAACACGTGGCTGTTTCAATGAACTGTCATTGGATCTAAGTCTAGTTTAATGGTAAAAATACTCGGGAAAATAATGAGAATTTGCCACATGGACCAGCAGTGTAAATGCAGCTTTAAACATCCTGTGCGTCAATGACGGCACATTAGGTTTGCAGTAGAGGAATCTTAACGCAAATCCATAATCACGAGCACATATGAGAATATACGGTCTGCCGCCCATTAATTTTAGGGCAATCCACCAGCGATGTTTCTATATGGAAGTTGCAACTGAGGCATAATTAGGAAGGGAGTGGGTGATCGGATGACCTCAATACATGTCATTAAACACACCATTGTTTTCTGTCAACTGAGCGAGTCACAACACAACAGTAGCTTCTGGCACACTGACTAGCACTTACACTTATTTGAAGGTGTTGATCGTAGTCATACTGATGCTTAGCGAAAGTCAAATCTCCGTGCGGCTTCATGGGTTCAAAGCAAAATGAACCATTTCCAATGATCGGCCTGTATTGGAGGAAAGTGACAGTTAGCATTCTGACCGTTGCATGTTGCTGGGAAAAAAAAAATGCTTTTAAACTAATAACCAGAGACAATTTGCAGTTTATGGTGCAGGAAAATATATTTAGAGCAAATAACTTGTCAAAGAGATAAATGTGACAGTAGAGTTTGAGTAGCCAGAGGCATCTTTTTCCTTGTTATTCGCTCACGCTGTGTGCTATTTATAGGAGCAGGAAGATGGGGTTTCAGATCCTGAGCTCCATGCTATCATGGCTGAGAAGCCTTTGTTATTAATTACATGTTCAACAAGCCTACACAGATTTTGTGGTAGCAGCACAGCATATCCATGGCAACAGCCATTTGGTCTCACCTCTCTGTGATGCACGCTGCCAAAGACGGGGCTCGAGGAAAATTCAAATGAAACTTTGGAAAAATCCTCATCTTGACATATCAGCTTTCATTAGGTTGCAAAAAGAGTCAAGATGTAAGCAAGTTACTTTAGAACGTTTTTTTGTATGTGCAGAGTAGTGTTATTTTGCCACCTTTAATACAATCGTAAAAGACTGTTTAAAAGAGTGCAAACTACACCTAAAACGTAATGTTTTCTGTTGGCACTTTAATTATTCTCTCTCCTCTACTGCCTGTTCACCAAAGTGTGAAGCTGGCACCCTCTTGCGGTTTGAAGGCTGTATTCTGCTCATATTTCGTCATGCCGTAGAACTTTCCCATGCCCGCAGTGTAGCTTTGCGTCCTTGTACCAATCATCACCTAGAATTGGAATACTCCCTGCTGAAGACGCACAAACATTGGAATGCGCCAGTTGATACAAGCTGAGAATCGGTTTAGGAGAAACTAAAGTTATGATATCACACTTTGTGTCTCGGTACCACCCTTCTGATGGTATAAAAATGATGTGAATCTCTTCCTGCTTCGCACTCGTGACGCGCAGCCATTGTCTGTAATTCGCGGGTGCTTGGAATATTCTGTTATTAAAAGCTTCGAAGGAACTGTTCATCGACTCTAGCCTTTATTTGAAGAACCAACATTCTCCTCGTCCGAAATTCAACGAACGCGCGGGGAAGAGGAGGCCGCTCTTCCCCCAACAGGTTCCATTCCTCCTGCACACACAAATTGAGCACTGTGGTCAAGTAAATAAAAGCAACAAAGTGGTTCGAAGTGCTAACATGAAAAAAACATCTGTCGTCAGTGAAAGAGTAACGAACATGGTCTATCTATTACAGTCTTCGTGCCTCGAGCTTCATTACAAATTCTCTTCACATGTCCTCACACAGGCAGAACTGTAAAACAAATGTACGGGACTGATTCTAATCTTTCCTCTCCGAAATTCCACCTTCAACACGCAAACAACTAAAGAAACAAATTCACATGACACTTACGTGTATAATACGTGTTTAAAACGGCCCAGTAAGATAGTCTGGGCGTCTTTGAGAGTTAGTCATCCTCGTGGTGCGTTCGTCAGGAGCCTACTCACTTCCGGGTTATCTTGGCGCCATTTCACAAGGAATTGTGGGTAAGGGGATAATACGTGTTAACGTCCAGGTGCCACCTAAGAGGGGGGCGGGGGGAGTCCATCAATTCAAGTCATGGAATAATAATCTACAATTACACCGAAGTGAACAATTAGGTTATGTTTGACAGCTCACATTTTTTTAGGCAAACATAAAATAGCTTGACACGGTCAAAGTATTTATGTTTTTTGGCAGGCAAGGGGAGAAACTCCACACAGGAAGGTCGGAGCCGGAATCAAAACCAACACTGTGAGGCGGACGTGTCAACCAGTTGATCGCCGCGCTTGCCCTATTTTCAAACAAGCAAACAAAAACAAAAAAAAAAATGTTCCAAACACGTTAGCCAGGTGGTCCAAAAAAAAAAGCTCCATATTGTGATGCAAATTGAAGCAACGCAGGGCCATATCCACAAAGATGATTGGCGAAAGAGCGCCATCTGCTGGCAAGGAGCTATATTTTACGCATGCACATACGTGGGGCCACACAAAAGTCACACACGAAAGCCAAGTGGCACTTTTCAACAGTTTATTGACATGTGTAGAGCGATTGTCTGTGCACCATTCGGTTACAGAGGAATACGATTGTAAAATAATAATAATAAAAAAGGAGCTGTACATGGTTTGTAGATCTTCAAAAATGCATAATAAAAAAGTGAGGTGGGTTCACGGTTTCATACATGTGGGAGTCTTGAAATGAAGGTCAAATGACACATCAAGTTGCTAAAGAAGTGCTAAACAATTAAAAGTAAATACTGTTTCTGCATCTAGTAGAAGCTACATGTGAAAACTAAAGGACTGAAATCGATAATGAACGCTTAAAAGTAAATGAAAATAGGAATCTAAAACTAAAAAACAGGTGCTCCAACAGTTCTTCCATCCACATGCCAACACTGTATACGACGTTTTATTTTTTGGCAGGTTCGCGCAAAGTTCGATTCTTTTATTAAAACCCGTAAATAGCTGGATACTGTCTACAGTAGCAGATAAATGCTCTCACGTTTGAAGTGTTGTGTAGTGAAATCACTGCGTGCCACACTAAATCCTGAGTGACAATAACCATTAAAAAATAAAATAAAATTATAAACCAAGCTCAAATTGTGGAACACGCAATGGTACCTCGATGGTCAAAATTAGGAGTCTGATCCAAAATTCTGGAAAAAAAAATTGGCCTCAAATATTGGACAAATTTTGCGACTGATGCTGCGAGTGAATTTGGTGCACTTTTCCACTGTAAGAACGCGCACGAAAACGTGTTCGCGTATTTTAGCTCGAAATTGAACAGAAAGTCAGCCATTTCCAAATAGAAGTAATTTCAATTGTAAATATTCTCAACCAAACCATGGTACCACTTTTTTTTTTTGTTTGCATCAAGCATTTTCAAAATGTTGAATGGAATTCGAACTCAAGATTTTGTTCCGTGGTTCATATGTCGGCAACGACGCTGTGCTGGCTTTGTGAGTGAGCAACAAGCTGGAAAACGCATGAGTGACACAATCAAAACAGAGAAACAAACGTGGGCTGAATTTCTCTAATGCTGCAGCAGAGTTGGCGGCAAATATTCTTAGCGTTACAGTACAAAGTGTGTGACTCTCACTTCCAAACATTGGTCAAGTATGAGGATTTTTTTTTTTCTTCTCTTCTATTTTTGCACATTGAACAGCCGAAGAAGACTCGGAAGACATCTTAAGTCGTCAAACACCCAGCGTGATTTCAAAAGGCGGCGGAGACGGGAACGTATTTTGAAGTGCAGCGTACATACTGTGTGTGCACGTGTGTACATGCAAGTGACACACACACACACACACACACACACACACACACACACACACACACACACACACACACACACACGAGTGTATCCACTCTTCCATACATAGTTATTATATTCAAGCTGGGGGGAGGGAGGGGGGGCTACACTGTCATATTCACTTACAAAAATAGTATCACAATATAGACCATTCAATAAGAGCACCAGGGAGGCTAATACACACATAGCCTGTATGGTCGGCTACATTCAATGTCCGAGCAACGGCAGCACTGTGTCAATCTATGTATCTTTTTTTTTTGTCTGAGCGAGAGACACAGTGTTGACACATTTTCACACTCATGGGCTCTGCTACGTCTAACACATCCCAGACCATACGCTGCTCTTCCACCAAGTTGAACAACTGAATCCAATACAAAAATAATATATGTATTTATATATATATATATGGATATATCTGTTTTTACCCAAACACTAGACCATATTTCCTAACAAAATAACTTTTCTTTGACACACGCAGACGCCCACAATGTAGTAGAGAGGGGGAGGAAAAAAAGAAAAGATTGTTTTTTTTTTTTTTTTTAGGTTAAGCTTTGGATACACCGACACGGTCACATACTTGAAAAAGGAACCCTGTTAGCAGTGGTGAAGAAACCAGAAGTGTGTTGGGTATTAATCAGGATGTAAGAATATATTTGTATTGTTTTCAGATTTTTCAATGAGGGACATGGATATGAGAAGAGTCTGCCCAGACAAAACATATCATAAAGGGGGGGGAGGCGACCGCAGCTAGTCTAGCGCTTGGCTAAAACCTAGCGTGAGATCTTAGCTTATACAAGAACGAGTGGTGTTATTGCTTCAGGGAGTTTGGTGTGTATGTGTGTGTGTAAAGTGGATCTTACCGAGTTTGTTGGGAGTCCAAGCCCTTGTTTATACTCGATCTGCTTGATGATGGGCTTGAGATCTGGTCCGGGCGCATACTGTGCAGAGGGCCCCCGTTTTACGACGGTCTTGACATATGTGGTTTGAGATTGTGAATGGCACACATTTTTCAATCGAAAGAATAGAAAACGCTATTCCTGTAGAAAAGAAATGTGAACACCGCAGTGCTGACACTAAACTAAAATGCTGAACAATGAATGAGAAATGTTGGGAAACTAAGGAATGTGAATGTGCAGGATATTCTTCAACATGTGAATTGCATCATAAAATGGCGGACCAGTATGAATAAATATAAAGAATTTTGGTGCAGAATATTGTGACTTTACCTTCGTGTGAGTGTTCCGTTCAAAATAGAGTAAAAACGTCCGTCCACATCACCTCCATTGTCGGGGCCAAGGCCCCCCACAAGTATGCTCTTAAATGTCTGCTGGCCTTCATTCCACAAAAGGTGACGCGCTACAAAGCATCATGTGAGCACGGGGGTCTCGTTGCCCTGCTACAGTGCTACAAAAAAAAAAAACATGACTTATTAAAACGTTTTTTTTTTTCTTTACGAGACGGTCCAGCTTGTGCGGGATGAAAACCAGCAGACTCGAGGTGCGGAGACTTCCGAGGTAATGAGTGAGCGCATCGATCATTCTGTCACGTTGAGTTGCCTAAAGTCCAGATCCTCAATCCATCACCAAATCCAGTACGAGAAATAAGGGAAGGAGCTGCATACGGTTAAAAAAAAAGGAAGGAAGGGAGCTTTGTGTCGCGGCTAGTCGATGGGACCCTGGAAGATGAGCCGCGTCCACCCGGGGGTGCTGAGGGCGGCAGAGCAGAAGGGGCACACGGGTCTGAAGGCGTGCGTCCCGTGGGGCAGCGGGGTGTCCGCCCAGTACCTGGTTGTCCTCTCTGAGCACACGTGGCCACACGGCACAAAGGCGTACGTGGGGGCGTCGGCGTCCACGTACACGGCCGGCTCGCAGCCCAGCCACAGGGGCACGTAGGGGCCCACGCTGCGGCACAACGGGCATTCCCGCCGCGTGGTGGAGCCCTCGCCTTCTAAGAGCTCTTCTTCGCCCCCCTCGGACCTCTGGCCCCAGTCGTGGCGTCCGTGGACGTGGCCGCAGGTGAGGTAGACCCAGGGCTGACGTTCTTCAAGGCTGAAATCCACGTTTTTTTTTTTTTGTTTTCATTTTTCGTACCACGTCCATAAAATGGCTGAATGGATAATCAACAACCTACAGCTCTTCTACCTCGATTGAGTCATTTTATAATCGCCTTGGCGAAGGTAATTAGCTTGTCGCCGTGTGCGGGCCATACCTGTGGCTGCGCGGCAGGCTGGGAAAGGCAAGCGTGCTGAGACCCACGGGACACTGCGGCCGCGACGCATTCAGCTCTTGGCGGAGCGCCTCCAGGTGGCGCAGGGTGGGAGCGCGCATGAGGCCCTCGCCCGTGCGCCACAGCAGGGTGGCGCCACACAGGTCCACGAGTGAGCCGTCGCGCAGCGCACTGCTCTCGCCTTCCGCCTGGAGAAGGGCAACACACATTAAAGGTGTAATGTTTTTTTTTTTTTCCCCTAAAGTATGAATGTGGAACATTTGACATTTTCCGGACATTATATCTCGTTGAAGGCATTCCTTATGGAAGGATGTAAAATGGCGCACAAAAAAAAAGAATGTGGCTGCTTCCAACGAGTTTTGGGGAGTCATGCTAGGGACCCCTAAATTATACTTTAAAACAAATTCAACTTGTAAGAGAAAGTATCGCTCTATTGGCTATAGTATGAGAACGTTACACTTCCACTTCCTCCCTTCCATACCACAAAACGATTGTATAATCCAAATACACGTACCGTTCCACCTCCCATAAAAACAAAATCAATCCAGAAATAGACGACTCACCAGTTTGCCTCGGCAGGGCCCGGAACGAGTCTCCCGCAGGGTGTAGACGTCGCCACACACCGAGATCTCCCGCCACAGACCCTGTTTGGGGTCCTCGGGGAAGCCGTCGGGGTGCATGACTAGCACGCCATTGGTGGTCAGGCCGTCCATGTGGCCGTCTGGGTTCTTCCACTTGGTCGCCTTCTCCTGCGGCGGCACATGCGCGATTACTTACACAATCCCTCTAATTAAGCAAGCGAATACAAAACCTGTGCAAAACGACTTGCCGCACCCCTAAGAAGATATTTTTGGAGGAGTCAAAGCCGGCGGCGTAGATGCGCGCCGTGTACGGCGGGTGGCGCTCACACACCACGCGGCAGGCAAAACGTGAGATGGTGCTGGGGGCTATGGAAGGGTCCTCGCCCTCCTTCACACCCCCAGAGGTGTCCGTCACCACAAAGTCAATGGGACTCTCTGTGGAGCGTCCAATCTGTGGTCAAGTAAACACACGAGGGACAAAAAAAAAAAAAAAAGCAACTGATATCAAAACAGATTTGTAACTTTTGAAAGTTATTTCCCATTGACGCAAAAGAAATTAGGAAAAAAAAACCTTATTAATAATTGTAGAAATTGGGAAAAGGCGAGTACCGACAACAGGTATTTTATTGAGCCAATGCCGGCCTTATTTTGAAGTATCGTGTAGTCACAAGGGCTGCCGATAACAGCCACAGATACTTAAGGCATATGGTTCATATGTGCATCAAAATTTATACAAATGCAAGGGTTCTAATAATTATTATTATTGCAAAGAGACAACGGTTGAAAAAATTGCTACCAGAGCAACGCTGACAGTTTCAAAAAAAAACTCCATGTTTTGTTTTGTTTTCCAATGAACCTGAATTAACTGATAAACTCGATTAAACGTCCAGCTCAAACACAAAGTTTAAGACACATCAACCATCATTCTTGACACCCAACCAAACATCAACATTCCAGAACAGCCTATTGCGAGACGTGAATCGACACGTTACCTGGAACATGTCGGTGTTGCTGTCGTGGCAATACTCGACGACCACCGTCTGGTTGCGGGACAGCGTGAAGGAGATGCTGTGCTGCCCCCTGCTGTGCACAGCCTGTAACGAAGCGAGTGGCAAGCGTTAGTTAGTCAAGTGACCTTTATTAGCCTGTGGCTCATTAACATCACCGAGGCGATAATTAGCATCAACACAGGTTAGTCCATTTTGTTGCGGTGGTGACCAGAAGGACACGTTCACACACACACACACCTTGCTGTCCTGCGGCGTGTTGAGGATGTGTACGGCGCTGGGCTTGACGCCATTGGCCTTGGCGCGGCGGTACAGGGCGAAGCGGCTCTTTCGGCGCCCGCGGTCGCCGCTGGGAAGAGAGCCATTGTACCTGATGATGGCGAAGGAGGAAGACGATGGTTTGAACGGTTATTTATTGAGGATTTACCTTTGAATCAAATGCTGTGCTGATCTCAAAATCCAAGTGGTGCAAAGCTGCTAATGCCGTACGTTCGTTATTACGGTTATCGAGAAGATTGAGCGACACAAAAAAAAAAAAAAAACTGCGCAAGACCCTCCGACCACGCCCACGCGATCAAAAATGTACTCAACCGACATATTCGTCAGTGGCAGTAAATGGTTGGAATCCAGTTGACCCCCACAGCAGTGAGTTAAGAAGGGAAAATGCTCAGAGAGAGAGAGAAAAAAAATCGGGGATGTGAATTAAATCTCGTCTATGTACAAACCGATGCTGCAAAGATGACGAGATATCAAAATGCAGTGGCTAAAAAAAGCTCGGCCCGCAAGTTCTTTTGAACCGAAATCAAAAGCTCCACTTGAGCTCGACCCTCAATGAGAATTCATCTCCTCAGTCAACGCGGCACAAAGATGACAAAACACGAGGCGGGCGTCACGGGCAGCGTTCGCAACAAAGAAAGCGTGTCAGCAAAGCCTGGATGTCGCCATTCGTGTTGATTCACCGTCTGACGCCGCTGTTTTTTTTTTTTTTTGTGTGTGTTCTTGTGACACAAACGCCGCAGGAAGTGCCTGTGTCACAGATAAGAAGCGCTCGGGAAATCAACGTCATGGTTTCCACAAAAGATCAGCACCTTCGCCCTGGATGGGACTTTCCAAAATGTCAAACTTTGTCCACTGACCAAAAAGGGAGTTTGTGTGTGCCGCCAGAAACACACAGAAAATCTTTTTTCAATAGCTTCTGCACTCAGCCTGACATTTATGAGATAATTACGGGAAGTGAGAAGTGATTATAGTTGTGCATTGACAGTTGGTGACTGAAAACTCCCCTTGGCTCAAATTCGATATAAACCTCATCACGGAAAAATGGACTTGCAGATTTCACGCTGTACCAAATGCTTCACAAAAGCCGTACACAGTTTGCCCTTATTTTCTTTCTGAAGCCGATTAAAACACTTTCCGCGCCGTCAGTTCAGGCAGAAGGCAGCGCAGCAGCTTTCAGGCCGTTAATAATGAGCAGCGCGTTAAAACCTCGACGACAATCCTCCATTTGAAAGCAATTACTCCCGTGGGAAATAATGGAAATATGAATATGTTATATATCATTTTTATTCACCGTACGAGCGAGATTTAAAGTGCATGACATACCGTTGTGAAAGCAGGTGAACCAAAAGCGGTGACAAACAAGCAGTCGCGACCCCACGCAAACTCAAAGCAAATTTACAACTGAGTCATTATTAGAGTTTTGCTTTCTGCTGCGACAACCACAAACAATGACAATAAATAAATAAATGCAATAAGCAAAGAGCAGGACGGAGACGATGGAAGGAGGAGATAAAAATAAAAAATAAAAAATAAGGCCAGAAATGAAACAGGGCTTGTGTGTGACGTACGACGCAAGCGGCGGCTTGTGTCCTGCATGCGCAAACATCATAAATCATACAGCATGACATATTCACTCCCTCTGGACCCTGCGTCGGCTTTTACCTCCAACACTCTCTCAACGACTGAGGGATACGGTGAGATAAGAAGGTGTAAAAGAGACAAAGCATGTTTATAACAGCAAAGACGGATTGCGTGGTGTCCATGCTAACTAACGGTTAACGAGTGCTGGCAAGGCGGCTCATGCGGCCTGCGTGGAAGACCGGCATTGACCACGCGGACGGTTGGCGTGACATCATCGAGGCTGACAGATGCAAGGTCAAAACACATAAGAGATGCGACTGAAAGGGAAAAGAGAGCCGCTGTGTTACCCGCTGAACATCTTCTGGATTGCCTCAAGCATTCCCATACGTGCAAGTGGACGAAACCATAATCTAGTCTTGGTGAAGTTTCGTAAAGTTCCTGTCAGACCCAGTTTGAAATATGCAACAGAGGTATGATGGAGAATGAATTGAGAGATTGCCTGTACTTTGACAGCCATGCTGACTCAAGTCAGTAAAGCAAATGCAAGAAAAGCCAAAACATTGCCATCCAAAGCCTGAGCTGCACTGTAATTGTCTGCCTCTGTACGTTATGGGCTGGAAAATAGAAACACATATAACATTTTGAGCTCATTTTTGTCATTCCTGGTTGCAAATGCCTAAATGGTGAGGGAATAGATGTCGTGGAAGACGACTCTTCCGTATTCAGATGTTCAGCCTGCGAGCAGGAAGGGGGTAGGGGGAAACAATAGGCCATTAGGTCAGTTATCTTTGGCACAGACAGGAAACTGTGCGGACCAAGAGGGACGTCTGCGCAAAACTGGCAGGGATGCAAGTGTGAGAGTGTGTGTGGGGGGCATTGAAGCTCCCAGCAGATTCCGCACCAGTCACGAAGAGGGGTTTTTCTCCTCCCACTACTACTCCACCATTGCACCGATCGGGATTGAAACTTAACACAGCAGCAGAAAAAAATAAATAAAAAGACGACACTATAAAAAGCATGCACACGGTCATGCATTTTTTAGACGGTCCCTACTTGGAGCCATAAAAGATCCAGCATAGGATGACATCATCGGGATTCAGCCCCCTCCGTCCCTGTCTCCCACTGTACACCTACAACCATTGATGAAAAAGTGTCTCCCGCTGCAGTTTTGTGTCAAATGGCCACTGAGTTTTTTTTTTCACCACGACACCTAAACGCACCACGCTCGTACGAGACAATCCGTGAGCTTTAAAGTTAGTTTTTAAAACACAAACATCGACGATCGGTTAGCGGAAACGTCGTCGGCTGCACAATAAAAAAATGAAATAAAAGCACACATTACATGCGTAAGATAAATATTTGTACGTTTTAGTGTGTCTGAGACGCCACGATGATGGAGCGGTTTCTCCATCCCACTCGTTTTTTTTTTTTTTTTTTTTTACTACTTACCCCAAAATGACCAGCTCGCCGTATTTGATCGAGTCTTTAACGGGCACATCATCATCTGCGTCCTTTTTCGGTGAATTCATCAGCGAGGACTTGCTCCAGAAAATTGGATAAATATAATTTTTTTTAAGGGAAAAATGAGAAGGAAAAGACAGTCGAGTCGTCCTCGGCAGGGAGTACTACGGACCGATTAAACAATGCTAACACCCCCCTCGAAAGTGCATCGTTGAAGACCGTTGTGGGGTCTGCCTCTTCAGTCGAGTTGGGACACAGTCGGACAAAGTTTCACCGGACTTTTTGCCGAGTGTTGGACAGTTTTGGTCCGCCGGAGGAGCATCTTTTCGGGGCTTGATAATAGTCAAGTGTTCCGCTAGCTTGTACCGAAATCTGTTCACTAGCAAAGCCAGAGATAACAACCGCTAGCAGCGGGGAGTGGGCCATACCACTAGCGGCGGGGTTAGTCGGCGAACACATCTCGCTATATTATAGATTAAAACGAAAGCAAAAGAAAACGAACAACGTACACGTGAATTTATTATACTTCTGAAAACTAGTTTACTTTTATCCCTAAATAATTCTGCGTTTCTCATAATATACAATTCGTAGATAAACGACCCCCCCTTTTCAAAGAAGAAATGGTTGTCGTGATGAGAAGCTCTTCGCTTAGATTAAAATGAACCCATTTCTTCGCCAACTTTTTTTTTCTTGCTTGCAAAAAACAGACTTGAATTTCATCAGTCACTCCTTAATAAAATCATTCAAACGTAATTTTATAATGCGTGAATCTTACGTGGTTGCGTGGGAAGGATGTGGGTCACCAACATGCATCAGACAAGACACCTTCTCTTCCAGTCTGGAAGTCACGAGGGGTTTTGGGGGGGATGCATTCCTCTGCAAAACTGTTGAAAGCAGTCACCATTTTTGGTGCTATTTTTATTTTCTCGGTTATGCTCTCTTCAATTCATCAAAACGAGTGTTTGTTGAACGTCTCAGGCACAGACTCATACATACTAGTTAGCTGTTCACCACAAGAGGCCACTACACGTCAGTTAATTAGACTCAATTCTGAACACGTGTCTGTGAGTAAAACGTTCAGCATTTCCGCTCCACTGTGATGTAACAGTGGTGCAAATTTACATCAACTTTTTCCATCTATGACTTGATCACTGAGGCCGGTTGAAGATCCAGAGCCACTTCAGGCAAAGGTCGGAGTCCGGCCACCACACTATGTCTTCCCAGCATTCACTAATCAGGGTCGTTGTTTACAAACCTTGTTGGAATGTTCCCGTTTCAAAACAGAAAGCATCCCTGTTCACAACTGAAAACTGATCCTATATGTCTTAAAAACATGCAAACACTGCAAATAGCTACCATGCCGAAACCGCTGCTGTGGTGGGCCCAGACTGTGGAAACGTTACCAAGAAGACTCAGTGGCAAGTACAACCAAACAAAATGTAAACACTGAGTCTACTTTCTAGAATAACGACCCCTTTAAATTATGAAAAAGAAATCCCTAATCGGACTCCACTATGTACCACACTTGATGAGTATAAATGCTTGGGAGCGGGTCACTTTGGACATAATTTGGATGTCAGAAATTCACTCCATACATGGTAGCGTGACATGCTTCATCTCGTCTTTTCTTTTATGTTCTGGTCGCGTAGTTTAACGTGTGCTGACTTGAGTGCACGTCCATGTGATGTTGCTGTGATGCAAGACCCATAGTACTAAATCCAAGTGGATTTTCATTGAGAAGGAAAAGCACCGCAATCATGCATGACTTCAATCAAGACGCTGATGCTAGCCACTAGCTAGCTAGCTGCTCCTGTGCATCTTTAGTTACATGGGTAGGCGGGGATATACTGCCTCAAAGCAGGGTTGCCTCGCAGTTCTAAGGTCCAAGGTTTTGATCCCGGCTCAGGGCTGTCTTTGCGCAGTTAGCTTTGTTCTTCCAGTGCTTGTGTGAGGTACATTTGATGAAGATAATGTGGTATTGTTTATTTTATTCCATTAATTTTGGGCGGCAGCCGAAGAACACTGATGAAGATAATGTGGTATTGTTTATTTTATTCCAGAACACGCAAACTCCACTCGGGAGGGCCGGGACTCGTAACTGTGAGGCAGACATGTTAACCGCTAGCACTATTATGTACATGCCAAAGATAAGTAGGTACATAGTACATTTGTTTAAGTCTATTTGGTTTATATATTGACAGGACATGGCGTACATGTATGTCCATTTCATGTTAAACATTGCCGGGGGTTCGTTTAGCGATATACATTTAACTGTGCAAATACCCACAAGAATGTAGGCCTAACCACGGACACGCAGGTCTAATAAAGAGCGACTCCGGAGACTTTCTGATGACGTTTTAACGGGTTGGGACGCCACGCAGTGACTAATCCACAGCGCAAACCCACCCACCGACGGACACACCCGTAAATTCGAAGTGAAAATCAACTGCAGTCAGTCAGCTCACCGGGGGCGAGTGATCGTGTGTTTGCTTTTAAATCATGAGAGACGGCGGGTAAAAAAAAACCGGCAGGACCAGATGCGCCTCTACATTCTCGCTGTGGGATTAAGGTCACACCCTCCTCCACTAGTAGTACTCCTCTTTCCCTTGGCGGCTGGACCAGTGCCTCGTTTCACAAACCGAGTGAGAGCAAAGAAGGCCGCGTCCAAACTCCCACCAGCTGAACTGCATTATTTCTGCTCACAATGAGAGCGCTCTGCGTCGCAGAGCAATAAAGTGACTCAACTTTTCTGACTGGTCATCATTGTTATGTCATCAAAGGAGAATTTTTGTCCTCGCTGAGGTCACAGTAGAGAGGTTAAAGTGGAGTTGCTAAAGGATACTTATCGCCCGTGGACTTTTGTTGACATCTACGCACAACAAAAACAGTGACAGACACATGACCATCCGTGTAAAAAGTTTGACAACCACTGTTGCAGTGAATCCTGAAATGGAGCGACTTTTTCACAATTAGACAGCGCGGATATCTTTCAGAAGCAGAAAGACGGGGGTGGTCTTTGATGTATACTGAGTCGAGGCAACTTGAACGTGACGCGGCCATCTGCCGCTGAGTCTTTTGTCGTGGTTGCCGTGGTGATGAGCGCAAACAAAGAAAAGGTTTTTCTCTTGACGTGCTACCGAAAGGGATTGGCAATGCTGGGTGGAAAACGAGTACATTTCTTTGCATACAAAATAATATCATCGGGTTTGTGTTTGTATGTGTGTGTGTGTGTCAGTGCCAATGATGGCTCAGCATATTCCTCCGGGGGCACAACGAAACAGGCCTCTGTGGTCATTATTGGCTCCCGACAGGGGGAAACTAATTGCATCCACACGCACAACATGGACGCAATCAAGTGGAGAAAATGCCTTTGTAGTAGTAGCTACTCACTAACACGCACGCCTTTTTTGAGTTGGCATGTGACTCCACGTGGGCCTTGTTAAAGTTACGACGAGATCACGTGAGCTGGGACAATAAAAGAAATTTGTCAGGTTGCTCGCTTGACGGTCCGGCTTCTGGTCCAACTACCGGCGAACTGTCACACAAACAAACACAACGACACGAAAGGCACCCGCGTGCGCGGCAACACAACAGATGGCTCATGAGTTGCAGTGTGTTACTTTTGGCTCGTCGTGGCTAATTTGGGGGGAAAACAAACACTTTAGTTGGCATCTGTATGGCCGCCGCACATAAATAGTTTCAAAACACTTTCAAACGTTTTTGTGACTGCTATTTACAAAGGCATATTAGCTATGATGTTGGCTAGCTGTTAGCCGCTAGTTAGCGAGGCAGATACACTTCCAGTCCCTTACCTCAGGGGGGGTTGGAATTAAGATTATTTTCCAAAATCGTTCATCCATACTCAATGCTTTTTCTTGTCCATTTTCTGTCCCCCAACACGGGACACATTTTGAGACCCCGTTTCTCTCACCAAATGTGGTTCGACAGGAAATTCTCACATTCCAAGCAGTAACGACAAGGGGGGGCGGTCTAATCATCAAAAAGTATTTAATGAGTGAACTGCCTGCACTTGCTCGATGGTTTCCTGTCTGGCCGACTGAATAAAGAACTGAAGCAAGATTACAATCGGAAGAGAGGAAGTGGCAAATGAGAGTATTGTCTGAGGGCAGGTCCAAAAGTGCGGCCCGGTGGTCATTTTAGGGTCGGCGGCTCTTTTAAGTGTATATTTTATTCATACATTTTACTACTTGCTAGCAGACCAATCAAAAAGAAAAAAGTGCAAAGGCATGTATGAAAATAGTGGCCGCACACATTTATTGAAGCCTTAACTATGCACTTCCGTCGTGTTATCTTTCGCCAAGATCTGCCGTAAAGCAGGAAGAGAAAGACGGTGTCATTCAAGCGCTTTGAACTTTTGAGATCACAAATACAGTCCAAAAATATCCGCTGGAAGAATTTAAAAGAAAAACCAAATATGTGAGACAGAAATGCAAAAATATTTCTGAAATAATACAAAAAAAATAAAAAATAGAACCATTAATAATACTGAAATATGAGCTGGAAAATACAGAAGAAATTGGCGCCCCTCCAAGAAAATTACCAGGAGGAAAAGTAAGTGAAAAAAATGACAATAGTATGTAATAATATATATTTTTTAATCACAAAAATATTTACCCTTTCAGGGACAGTGGACAATTTATCAGATTACAGGGTGCATGAAATATTGGTGAAAAAAAAATCCATCCATTTTCCAAACTGCTTATCTTCACTACCCACCCAAAAAATACTGGCACAAAAACTCATGCTAGCATTATCTATGGGGTGAGAAGCAGCAAATTGGTCAGCGGCCAATTGGTCACAAACAAACACGCATTCACACTCACATTCACGCCGATGAACAATTTGGGGTCTTCAATCACGCAAACAAACCAGAGCTAACTCCCCACAGAGTGAAATTTGAACATGCACGCTTATGATCACTACGCTACAGTGCTGCCTGCAAATTATTATTATTATTATTTTTTTTTTTTTTGCAAAAAGGCTTTGTAATTAAGACTTGGGCTGCCTTGGAGGAGGTCAGCACTCAACTGAGTCATGGTGAGTGCCGTTTAAAAGGCCTCCGCAGCTGACGGCGAGTCGACAAACAACTGTGACAATACAATTGATTCCCAGCAAGCGCTGGAAAGTGGAGGGCCGGCAAGCTGCGGTATTCGTGCGAGTCAGCGGCAGGTCAAACTTCAAGAGAACAAACACGGCCTTTCCAAACGCACGGCAGATAGCGAGCCAGCATTCCCAGGGCAGAGGAATTCCTGACCTGATGATCTTTATACACAGACACGGAGTTTTTTTTTTTTTTTTCTCAGCTGCGTTTTTCCACCTGCTTTGTGAGGCTTGAAGCCGAAACTGAGCAACAAGTTTTGCAAGAGTGTGCAGCCACAATTCACACTTGCCTCTTTTTTTTTCGCTAAGAGCGCAGAAGCTCACAGTGGTTTTAACAATTTGTAATTTGTGAGATATTACATTGACACCGATATTTAAAAAAAAAAAAAAAAAAATTGCCAGCGACTATTTTTAAAAATTAAATATTAGAAATACAGATGAACACTTCAATCAATTTGGAAAAAAAAAATTTTTATACGTTCTGAATTTTTAAAAATCTTTTTGTTAAATAAAAATAAAAATCAGGATATCAGACAACACATTCCAAATTGTCAAATAATTTTAAAGATGACAAATGTATTTTTATTACTTTTTTAT